GTCATAAATGAGATATTATCAGAATTAAATTAATAAAGTTGAATTTTTATGAAGAAAACAGCACTGTTTTCTTTTTTGCTACTTTTTCAGCTATTTTAGAAGAAAGTTGGCTACTTCTAGCTACTTTCAGCCTTCGGTTTTGCTACTTTTGCTGAAAAAGTTTCGGCAACACTGGCCCGAACCTAAAAGTAGAAGAGCCGAGCAAATACGAAGTGGTCTGGGAGATTATGCTCGAAAAAAAGTGTGCAAAGCGCTTTACACTACGTGTCCGGTTAAGTGTTGCCGTTTTTCCCCGAGAAAAAACAGCTGAATTTCGACAAAAAATAAGTCCAAATAAGCTGAATCCACTGACCAAACAACACATAGACTAGACATGTAGAGCAACGTTTTTCCACGCCACAAAATCTGTGTAGCAGGTCCCGGCCAACTTCGTATTCGCTCGGCTTGGTATTGGCTGGCTCGGGTAATGAAAGATAGCACGACGAAATCAGTGGTCATGCATGCGCTTTGCGTTTTTTGTCTTACTTTCCCTCTCTCTCTCTAACTCTCTCTCTCTCTCTCTCTCTCAGCGCACAAAAATTGAAATTTCTTCGCGACGGTCCCAGCTCTTTCCTTTTGAGTAAAGAGTATACCGAAATCTTAAAATCGTTTGCGACATTCATGCAAACAAAATGTTAGCGTTTCGATATATATTTATGTGAAGGGTATGAATGCGTTGAGGCGCATAAAGAATATGATCTCGCGACGGGCATGCACACACACACTTGTAGTCCCTTGCCACATACATGTATGAGCATTTGTGACCTGCGTGCGTTACTCTTGCTGCTTGTAGCAATTTTGAAGCCCAGCATTTGCATTTGGTCGGTCTTACGGACTGTCATAACCACTTTACACAGATGTACTATGTATGAACATACATATGTATGTACATAAGTACATTTATATATTATTATTGCTAATCATGTTTATAAATGTGTTTATATCCGTAAATAATTATATATAATTAAAATTATTTTATATACATTTTCAACGGAAACAAGTAAGAAAGCTCTAGTCGAGATTACTCGACTACGAGATCCCCTGAACCCTTGGAGTAATAGCTATTTAAATAATTTTTCGCGTCTTTCAGGCATACATACACACATACATACACACACATACACACACACACACACATACACAAACAATTACATACATATACACACACTGAGCGCTTACTATGAGAACTTAATTGCTTAATAACTTTTTTTGTGGACGTACGATCTTCATGAAACTTTCAGATTATGATTATAACATGGATATGCATGTAATTACCAAAGCACAAGTCTCTAGTATTTGAAATATACTTTTTACAAAAGCGAGGGTGAGGGGGTGGATATAGAGGTTCGGGTAAATTTTAACAAAAACCGAAATTGCATAAATTGCATATAAGCATACATTAAAAATTTGGAGACTCTAGCAATAAAGGTGTAGAAGATATAATTTTATAACTGGTTTTCGATAAGATTTTTTATCGATAAAAAAAGATCGGGGTGAGTTATCGATTTTTAATGATAAACTTGATATGCGCGCTGTAATTACGGACATTTTAAAAAAATTTGAAGTCTCTAGCTCTTATATCTTCTGAAATCGACGCGTTCATACATACGGACAGACGGACAGACGGACGGACGGACAGACGGACAGACAGACGGACAGGGCCAAATTAACTCAGCTCGTCGCCCTGATCAAGAATATATATACTTTGTGGGGTCTGCCACGCCTCCTTCTGCCTGTTACATACATTTCAACAAAACCATTATACCCTGATTTCCCATTGAAAATGGGTTCAGGGTATAAAAATGATCGTAAAACACTACTAACTTTATTAAATGCTTTGCAATATATGAAATACACATGTCATATTATACTCAAGCTTTACTCATTATTGTCAAAAATTTCTAATTAAGTCATAATGGCCCATTTGATAGTCACCCTACGATTCAAATCATACAAAATTTACAAACTACTAAATCCAGAGACAATTACCTTGCCATCCCATACAAGCATACACATACACAAATTTATGTATGCATGTGCTCACTTCACAAGGCAGACCAACGCAAATTTTGGGCTTTACAATTTGCACAGGCTGTTGTGCACAGAAAGAATACATTTTCGCGACGAGCATGCACACACACATTTACATCCTTGCTACGTGTATGTGCTTTTGTGTGCGTGGGTCGCGAAACTCAATTCTTTCTCAGTATTTTCGTTAATCATCAGTTACTGTCCCGTTTTACATGCATGTATGAGCCCTTATGTGTTAGTATGGGAAACTATTCTTGCTGCCTGTGGAATATTGTAAGTATGTGTGTTCATAATACGTGAACATTGGCTTGTGCTTGCCACGGGCTTTTAATTGTGCGAGCGATTTCGAATTAAATCTGCAGAAGGGAGTGTTAAACGACCTTTTTTATTACTTTGTGTGCTTTTTATTGCTAAGAATCGTGCCAAAATTATTAAAGTTTTTTTTTTAAACTATGGCTGAGACAAGTGTTATAAAAACAAGTAAGAAAGCTCTAGTCGAGACTACTCGACTACGAGATCCCCTGAACCCTTGGAGTAATAGCTATTTCAATAATTTTTCGCGTCTTTCAGCTTACACAAGAAACACGCACACACACACACACGCACGCACGCACGCACACATAGGCATACATACACACACATAAATACACACATACACACATACACAATCAATTACATACATATACACACACACAAGCATAAACACGCATGGGCGGCAGTGAGCGCTTACTATGAGAACTTAATTGCTTAATAACTTTTTTGTGGACGTACGATCTTCATGAAACTTTCAGATTATGATTATGACATGGATATGCATGTAATTGCCAAAGCACAAGTCTCTAGTATTTGAAGTACGCTTTTTACAAAAGTGAGGGTGAGGGGGTGAATTTAAGGGTGGGGGGTAAATTTTAACAAAAACCGAAATTGTATAAATTGCATATAGGCATACATTGGAGACTCTAGCAATAAAGGTGTAGAAGATATAATTTTATAACTGGTTTTCGATAAGGTTTTTTATCGATAAAAAAAGATCGGATGAGTTATCGATTTTTAATGATAAACTTGATATGCGCGCTGTAATTACGAACATTTTAAAAAAAATTTGAAGTCTCTAGCTCTTATATCTTCTGAAATCGACGCGTTCATACATACGGACAGACGGACAGACGGACGGACGGACAGACGGACAGACGGACAGACGGACAGACAGACGGACAGGGCCAAATCAACTCAGCTCGTCGCCCTGATCAAGAATATATATACTTTATGGGGTCTGCCACGCCTCCTTCTGCCTGTTACATACATTTCAACAAAACCATTATACCCTGATTTCCCATTGAAAATGGGTTCAGGGTATAAAAATCAACTGGTGGTGTCAAAAAATGTTCACGAAGAAATGGCGGGAAATGCATAATTGAAACGTGTGGTGCGAGTTATAGGCAAAGTTCCATGCATTTTCCGGTTAGATTATTTGCGTTTCCGTCTAAAGAATTTCAGTTAAACAAGTGGATTAAAGCATGTAATTTACCAAAAATTTTCGACCCAAAAAGGTCTAGAATATGTAACAGGCATTTTGAACGGAAATATATTGGTAAACGTTTTTTAAGAGTTAATGCAGTTCCAACTTTAAATTTGGGCAATTCAAATTTGCTCTCGGTAGGTCTTCTTTTTGCTCAAATTGTTTGAAAAGAGAGCAAAATGAGCTATATTATAGGAACAAATACTATGATATGGGAGTAGACCTCAAAAAATCTCAGCAAGAATTCCTTAAATTAAAGAAGAAATATTTAGCTTTAAAAAATGCCTCTAGACACAGAAACATTTATTATAGAAAGGTAAAAAAGCATGTTAATGTCTTCACGACAATTAACAATTTACCTCATGTTTCTGAAAATTCAAAAGTATTATGTAGAATGCTTTTGAAAAATAATCATGTCTATAATAGTGCTGAAAGGGCAATTACCCAAAATATTAATTTTTATTCAGCCAGGACATATGATTATCTTAGGGATGTTCTTAATTTAAGACTCCCATGTAAGAAATCTTTAAATCGATGGGCGATTTTGAAAAATTTAGTTCCTGGATTTAATCCAGACTTATTAGAAAATTTGCAGGGCATTGTTGAGAAAATGAGCGCCAAAGAAAAATATGCCGTATTAGTTTGCGATGAGCTCAAAGTAAAAAGAGGGCTTCAGTACAATTCATTTCTTGACGAGATACAGGGATTTGAAAACGATGGTGTAAAACGAAGTAGGTTTTTAGGACAGCAAGTCTGTGTTTTCCTTGTTAGGGGGCTTTTTGAGAACTGGAAGTATGTTTTAAGCTATACGGTTTCAGCCCGTGGCATAAATCATACTGACCTAAAAAAAAAATTTGAAGAAAATATTGGACTGTCGCAAGCATTAGGGCTCAATGTCAAAGCCGTTGTTTGCGATCAGGGATCCAATAATAGAGCAGTGTTTAATAGATGGGGTATTGATTTCAATAATCATAGCTTTGAGGTTAATGGTGAAATTTTTTTTGCCATATTTGATGCACCGCATCTAGTTAAATCCCTTCGAAATATTCTTTTAAAGAAGAATATTTCAACACCAGAAGGTACAGTTTCATGGGGAATAATTAGAAAATTATATGAAACTGAAACCAAGAATTTAACTCGTTTATGTCCGAAATTAACCTTAAAGCATGTCTGTCCGAATTGCTTTGAAAAAATGAAAGTGAAATTAGCACAACACAAACACAAATCTTTAGCCACAGTGTAGCTGCTGCGATACGCACTGTTGTCGAAACAGGAGGGTTTGCCGATTGCAAAGACACTGCAGTTGCAACGGCAATATTTATAGATAAAATTAATAACCTTTTTGATTGCTTAAATAGTCATGTGCTATTTGATAGCAATCCTTATAGATGTGCTCTTAGGGAGAAAAATAATATTCACGAATACCTTCTGGAAATGCGTGATTATTTCAAAAATCTGCATTATCCACACAAAGTGTATTGCATTGATGGGATGATAATTACAATCTCATCGGTAATTGCTTTGGCAGAAAATATTTGGAGTGACAACAATGATCTTTTCTTTATTGCCACATCCAAATTGCACCAAGACCCATTAGAAAATTTATTTTATTTAATTAGAAGTCGGGGAGCGACAAATACCAATCCCACCATTTTTGAATTTAATTCTATAATATCAAGAATGTTATCTATGAAAATATTAACATCAGCATCTGTGTCTGGAAATTGCATTCATGTTGGCCAATATCATAGAAGATAGTGGGTCTCAACTATCTGTATTTCATGACCAATGTAATTCACGTCATACTGCTACAGATATTGAACCTGATGCTGATTTAGAAATAGAATTGTCATTAGATGCCACGATTGCTAATATACAAAATGCTTTTAATGAAAATGCATTGCGATATTTTGCTGGCTATCTTCTACACAAGCTGTTGCAAAGAACAGATTGCGAAGTATGTACAAATCTTTTAAAGTCATCAGATGAAATGCAGTGTTCTTCTGAGTATTTAATACTCAATAAAAATTATCATTATATAAATAAATATCTTAAGTTGAAAGCCCCTTCTGACCTTTTCTATAATATGATAAAACTGCATTTCGAAACGTTTAAGACCATTTTTGAAAAGAAACCATATATGCCACGTATCAAAGAGAAAATTGTTCTGTACTGCATGCACGCTACAGCAAAATCGTCTTTAGATACTGAATGGTTTTCTCCCACCCACCCTTGTTTTGAGCATAGGAAATTTATTCTTAATCAGTTTGTCTTAATTCTTATTAGGAAGAATTGTAAATGGCAAACTGAAAAAATTGTTGGTAAAACCAGCATAAGTAAAAGAAAATTAAAAATAATACATCAATAGGGAACTTGACTTTATATTAATTTTGGCACAATTCTTAACAGAAGAAAACAGTGAGGTTTTAATGAAAGGTCGTTAACACTCCCTCTGCAGATTTAATCCAAAATCGTTTGCACAATTAAAAGCCCTTGGCAGGCACAAACCTTATTATATGTATGTAAGAAAGTACGTATATATATGTATATACATACATATGTGTGTATGCATGTACATACATATATACGTACTTACAATATTTCATAGGAATATTTCAGCAGCATAGCGATTCTCACATACATATGTACATACATATGTAATTAGATATGTATACATGTAAGTAAACACATATTCATTAAGCACAGAACATTCGTATATCCTTCATACAAATAATAACAAAATTCTTAAAATCTTACATTGTCTTGTAAACTCTTTCAACAGTCTGGTATATGTATGTACTCTTCAAGAAGAAGTGCAATGAAGGGAAATGGACTGGCTTGAGCGGACAAACATATGTACATATAAATTTACAAATTATATTATTCCAATGTTATTGAATTATCTTTGTTTTTATTATTGATTTGTTTATTGTTTATTTATTGTTAATACATATACATATATTGAATTTTATGTTTTATATTTATTAAGTTAATCAAATAATATTAAACAAATTCCTATTTAAAACAATTGTTTTTATGAATTGATGACTTCGGTAGGCAAGCACACGATCATTGATACAAATTAAAAGGTACTTAAATAGAAACGCGATTCTGCAAAGCGAACCCTAAATTGGTCAACCAATTCTAAGTTGAGGTAGGCACACGCCAATGTTCATGTCCCCTGCATACACATATGCACATACACACACGTACATGTAAAAGCCCACAGGTATACAAATGCTTCTACAAGTGCTATTCCATAATTGTGAGCATCGCATCCCATGTGAACACACACACAATCAAATGATACATGTACAAGACCGACCAAATGCAAATGCTGGGCTTTAAAATTGCTACAAGCAGCAAGAGTAACGCACGCAGGTCACAAATGCTCATACATGTTTGTGGCAAGGGACTACAAGTGTGTGTGTGCATGCCCGTCGCGAGATCATATTCTTTATGCGCCTCAACGCATTCATACCCTTCACATAAATATATATCGAAACGCTAACATTTTGTTTGCATGAATGTCGCAAACGATTTTAAGATTTCGGTATACTCTTTACTCAAAAGGAAAGAGCTGGGACCGTCGCGAAGAAATTTCAATTTTTGTGCGCTGCTGAGCTTCATGATTTGAGAGCCCACAGAGAGAGAGATAGAGAGAGAGAGAGTTAGAAAGAGAGAGGGAGAGTAAGACAAAAAACGCAAAGCGCATGCATGACCATTTCGTTTGCGTGCTTAGAGCGCACTGATTTCGTCGTGCTATCTTTCATTACCCGAGCCAGCCAATACCAAGCCGAGCGAATACGAAGTTGGCCGAGACCTGCTACACAGATTTTGCGGCGTGGAAAAACGTTGCTCTACATGTCTAGTCTATGTGTTGTTTGGTCAGTGCTAAATCTCAGGAACATTAGCTGAAATATTTAAGCTAATATATCTGTTATGTCGGCTCAATTCGCATGTAAAATTAAAAAATATTAGTTTCTGTTTTAATGAGATTAATAGTTGCCAGCTTGTTTATTTGTCTATTAATCGGTAACTAATATCACAAAATATGTATTAGCTGATTCAATTCATAAATAAGCAATTTATAAATTTTTTCCGCAATCGAACTTGAAAATAAGCCAGATTTGGCCGAAAATAAGCCAAAACGGCAACACTGGTCCGGTCTATGTGTTCTCTGGTTAGTGTCTCTGGTTAGTGTTAACATTATATTGATTATGTTATTAGCAAATGCAACCGTGGTAGTCAATATCGTTTTCTGATCTGAATATCGATAGTATCTGTCATTCCTAATTCTGAGTATATCGGCCAATAATCAAAATGGATAAAATTAAAGACACGAATAAATTTATTTGCAAAAATCGTCGAAAGATAGACTTGAAAGACAAATTTTTTAAAGTTGACTCGCCCATAGCAAAATATCCTTTTCAAATATTTGTGTTTAGATGACATGTATATGTTTGTACAACTTATGTACTTACATACACGCACATAAAATGATTCAGATTAATTTATATTATTGGTTTACTTAATAACTGTTTTACATATGATTCCTTAGGTAATTTATCTTGCCTAATATGCAAGATGCTTATCAAGCCAAATATTTGGAAGGTACATCTGAACTCAAAACAACACAAACAAAATGTTGTGCTGGCTAAAGGACGAAGTGAATTCGAGAATGTTTCGGAAACTCAAAACACTACTAAAAGAATGCAAATATCTCCTAAAACCGATTGCATTTTAAATCCTGAAATTCATTTACAATCGAGCACTGGTCAAACGGCTCACGTGACGCAATTAAATAAGTTTCAGGTATTACCCGAGAAATTTTTTGATCATGAGAAGTCATTATCTGTTTGTGGAACTGAACAAGATCCCGACGCGGAATGGATCAAATTTCAAAAAGAAATAAGGGAAGCGGCTACAATTTCGAGCAATATTATATCTGAGGAGCAGGAAAGTTTAAATATAAAACGGCATCTGAAAGAAATTGACGAACAACTTGAAAACTGGAAAAGGTTCATAAAAATAAATGATAAAAAAAACAACCTTTCAAAAAAAAAACGCAGGGAGATAAACACATTTACGGTCGATAAAGAATCAAGCTCTAGTGAAGAAGACAATGTAGATAACTTGTTAAATTGGAGAATAAAAAGTTTTCACAAATAAAACTTATGTATATTTCTAAACTTTGGGGAAGGAACTTTGTATTTAGTACATAGAACAAGCAAAACTATGATTATTTATTTGATTACAAGTTGGGGAACAATTTAAGCGAAAATAAAACAAGTAAGAAAGCTCTAGTCGAGACTGCTTGACTACGAGATCCCTTGAACCCTTGGAGTAATAGCGATTTCAATAATTTTTCGCGTCTTTCAGCTTACACAAGAAACACCCACACACACAAACACGAACACACACACATAGCATAAACACGCATAGGCGCAGAGTGCGCTTACTATGAGAACTTAATTGTTTAATAACTTTGTTTTGGACATACGATCTTCATGAAACTTTCAGATTATGATTATAACATGAATATGCATGTAATTGGTAAAGCACAAGTCTCTAGTATTTGAAATACACCTTTTACAAAAGTGAAGGTGAGGGGGTAGATATAGGGGTGGGGGGTAAATTTTAACAAAAACCGAAATTGTATAAATTGCATATAAGCATACATAAAATTTGGAGACTAGCAATAAAGGTGTAGGAGATATAATTTTATAACTGGTTTTCGATAAGGTTTTTTATCGATAAAAAAGATCGGGGTGAGATATCGATTTTTAATGATAAGCTCGATATCCTTGAACCCTTGGAGTAATAGCGATTTCAATCATTTTTCGCGTCTTTCAGCTTACACAAGAAACACACACACACACACGCATACGCACACATGCACACACACGCACGCACGCACACTCAGGCATACATACACACACACATATCATAAACACGCATGGGCGCAGAGTGCGCTTACTATGAGAACTTAATTGTTTAATAACTTTTTTGTGGACATACGATCTTCATGAAACTTTCAGATTATGAGTATAACATGGATACGCATACATTTGCCAAAGCACAAGTCTCTAGTATTTGAAATTCGCCTTTTACAAATGTGATGGTGAGGGGGTGGATATAGGGGTGTGGGGTAAATTTTAACATAAACCGAAATTGCATAAATTGCATATAAGCATACATTAAAAATTTGGAGACTCTAGCAATAAAGGTGTAGAAGATATAATTTTATAACTGGTTTTCGATAAAGTTGTTTATCGATAAAAAATGATCTAGGAGAGTTATCGATTTTTAATGATATGCTCGATATCCGCGCTGTAAATACAAGTAAGAACGTTTCAGTCGGGCGTTACCGACTGCAGAATACTCATTCACATCCCATCAACAATTTAGTAGTTCAGTTTCACTCTAATAGTGTAGAAAACACCGATTTGCCACGCCCCTACTGAGCGTAGACACCTCATTTTTGGTCAGTTCTTAGAACGTGATAACGGTACCCTAACTGCAAAGTTTGAGTGGTTACCCTCAAAAAATGTGAAAATTACAGGGTATCTTTCGATATGCCACGCCCCTAAAGAGGCGTAAAAATTATTTTTGGGTCATCTATAGAGGAGGTTACTGGTAACTTAACTATCTTATTGAAGCTTCTAGCTTTTATACTGTAGGAGATAGCATATGATATATATATGCGGTTTGCCACGCCCCCTGTGGGCGGACATATATCCGACAAAACTTTTTGGTCTTGGGTGATCAGCCCGAGTATATATACAAAATTGGAGGTCTCTGCAGAGCTTGCAAATGAGAGTTGAGCGTTTTTTCGTTTATTCTCTTCCTCGCATCATAACCAAAAAAAATTGTGCAGACACGTCTATCTCTGAGCGTCACTCTCTGTTTTCTTTAGCATCTGTTTCGCTCAGACGCAATGCGATCACTCATTCGTGTGACGCTCTCACATGAGTGTCGCGTAAAACTAACACGATTTTCCCTCACACAAAGCCTCTCAGCAAAAAACACTTTGACTAAAAAACTCAGCAGAAAATGTTTTTGCCTTCGTGTGCATGTAAATACACGCATACATACATACAAAAAGAACGCAGCAATCGCGCGTGATTACCCATACAAACGCAACTTACCGTTACTTCTTTAACTCAAGCAAACGATCAGTGTTTGACTTGAGGAAACGAAAACAGAAACAACTGTCTCCCTCAGAGCGCGAGAGAGCTAAGCCAGACGCGACAAAAACAGTTTCTGTCTGAGTTTTTTTGACTGTGTCAGTGAAAGACACTTTTTTGCAGACAACGAAAAAGTGTTAACAGTTATTTGCGAGCTATGGGTCTCTGGCATCAATAGTGTCCAAAATATAGAAGAATTTAAAAAATCACTATATCTTCACGTCCGATTTGCCACTTTATAGAATCATAACATAAACCTGACGTGCAAAATTTCAGCGCTCTAGCTTGGAGATACAGTTTTATCCGATTTGCCACGCCCCCAATGGGCGGAGATATATCCGCCATAGTTCGTGATCTTGGGTGGTCGGCGCGGACCTACATACCAAATTTCAGTTTTCTAGCTTTTCAACAAACATGATTTCTGGTATATCGGAAAATGCATTTTCCGACGCCACGCCCCTAGTGGGCGGATCGGGAAAGTTTTAACACTTTATAAATCGGAGATATACACGAGTATGTGTTCCAAATTTCAAGTCTCTAGCTTCAATAGCGCCGAAATAGATTGCGTTCATACGGACAGACGGACATACGGTCGGACGGACGGACGGACAGACGGACAGACAGCAAGACGGACATTGCACAAAACCAATATACTGATTCACATTCGTGAAGTCTCTAGCTCTTATATCTTCTGAAATCA